TTTGCAGGGCCAATATGCGCAGGCAAATGGTGGTTCGTCTACTGCCATGTGGTCACTTATTGCACCAAAAGTGTAACGGTCCTATTATTGAGTCCAATAAGTGTCCTATATGCCGAGGAGATGTGAATGGTACAAATACACATATGCATATATAAATGGTCTTTAAATAATCACAATTTTATCTTATCGTAAATACGTTTCTATATGTAAAAATTTTTCCAATAATGTGTATAGGTTTATATTCTCCGGTACAGAAAACGAGATTGTAGAACGCAAAAAGTATTCGGTATACAATGAAGTCGACCGCGCACGCATTGTTGAGGCTGCCAACAAAGCCGAAGATTGGAGCAGCTTAGCATCGTCATTCGGAATCAATTACAAAACAGCATACACTTGCGTGCGATCTGGCAAAGTAGAAAGCAAACGAAGAGGAGGAGGGAATGAAAAAGGTTGTCTGAAGACGAGGTCGACACGTTCTGGCATACGAGCGGTTTTAACGCTGCCACCATCAAGGGGACCCAACGTACACCTAATTGGAGCCATCAGTATATCCGGTGTACTGAGCATGGAAACGCGGCGCGGGTCATTTAAAAAAGAGAGCGCCGCTGAGTGGGTCCGCGGACTTTTTGAAAAATGGACCAGCATGGGCTACATACTAAGAGATTTAGTGTTAGTCTGCGACAATGCACCATTGAACAAGTGGTGGGTAGTAATGGGTCACCCACCCTTTTGCGTCTAGGGCCATAATCGCCCATGCTGAACCCCATAGAAAATGTTTGGGCTAAGGTAAAGAATTATGTAAAATCGAATATAGGCGTTACATCCGCGGATGGACCTGGTGTGGTAGTAAGGCGACTGCAGTATATGTAACAAATAATACTGCAAGCGAAAGAAACCATATCTACTGCTGATTGTGCTCGAGCTATTCAGCATTCATCTATTTTTTTGCAGATTATTTGGCATTGCGCGACATGCCTGTTGGCATGTAATAAACATATGTACATCTACATAAATACTTATACATGTGTAAATAAAATCTCGCCGTTACAAGTGTTGAATTACTCGAGTTTATCACTGGTTTATTCAATTGGTCGTAGCAAGAATAGATGGAAGGGTAGAGGTTTAATTTATAAATGGATTTATAATAATATAATATTATGGCGCTTACAGTTTGCTAAGTATTTGGCCGAGCATCTCCTCCAGATGGTGCCGTGCGCCCTGATGTTGTCACACAAAGGGTAGGGACGTATAGTTTTACCCCGCCCCCGAACGGCGAATGCATTTTATGACAAGCTTTTTCAAGGCAGAAATACACTCGGAAGTTTGCCATTGCAAAAGTTTACCTAGTTTGAAAATATTCTAACAATCTTTTTCTGAAATACTATTGTGTTTTTCTGAATCACATTTGTGCTTTTCGGAAATACATTTGTGTTTTTCTGAATTTCATTTGGCCTTTTCTGAAATACATTTGCCTTTTTGTGAAATACATTTGAGTTTTTGTGAAATACATTTGAGTTTTTCTAAAATACATTTGACATTTTCTGGAATACATTTGAGTTTCTCTGAAATACATTTGACCTTTTCTGAAATACATTTGCGGTTTTCTGAAATACATTTGAGGTTTTCTGAAATACATTTGGCCTTTTCTGAAATACATTTGTGTTTTTCTGAAATACATTTGAGTTTTTCCGAAATACATTTGAGGTTTTCTGAAATACTCTTGTCCTTTTCTGAAAGACATTTGTGGTTTTCTGAAATACTGTTGGAAAAGGTGTAGATCAAAATTTTCAAACACTTCAAACCAGTGGAGTTAAACTATTTAAAAGCAGTTGTGTTTTAAATTGTAATTTTGAATTGTCGTTAACAATTGCAAATCCACTGTTACTAACCCATGTGCAATGTGGGTTCCATTTGGTTTTGTAATGTGTGGTCATATTTATTGGGCCGTACTCAATTTGTTCAAATAAGTTTATGTTAAAGGTATGCAATTTTAAGAAAACGCATTAGCTTAGTTTTTAGGCAAACGACTCATTGTATGTAATTCCTTTGTATGTATTTTGTTTGAAAAAAAAACAATAAACAAAAATTTTACGATTTTTTGGCCGAAATTACGATTTTTTTAGGGCAACGCTGATTGGGAAGTCAAGACACCGCATTTGAAAGGTTAGCGAAGGCAAGACACCTCATTGATTTGTTGCAGAAGTCATAACACAGCATTTGATTTGTTGCTGAAGATACGAGCACCGCATTTGATGGGTTGCCGAAGTCATGATACTGCATATGATTGGTTTTGAACTACAAAAACAATTCAACGACACTTGTCTGATTGAAATGAAGCATCGATATGTAGTCAGATACATATCTGTTATGTATGTATGCATTAGGGATGTTTCGAATGTCATATCCGAATGCGAATGTTATGAATAACATTAAAAAAGCTATAATCAACTTAAGTAATCGTTTTTATTATTTAAACATTTTGTAAATTGTTATTAACATCGAACAAGTGCTTAACCTATACAGTGTTTTAATCTAGTGGTCAGAGTTCAAAAGGGGCATATTATATTTCAAAAAAAAGGAATTCTGCTGCCTTTTCTCCCATGAGGCGACTTCTTAGAAGGTTGTATAAAAAGCACTGAACAATTGCTCACCTGGAACGCTGGCGGATGGAGCGCTCAAATAATTGCCGGCCAGATCTGTAAATTTTTCGTACTTAAGTTCAGTTTTCCACCAATCGAGAGGATTTTCACCGAGATAAACTTGTTTTTCTTTAAGATAGGCCTTCAAATGAGCTTTAATTTCACATTTTTTAATGTCTCCAGATTCTACATCCGAGCCTTCGCTTTCGCTGGAGGAATCTAAAATTATTTCTTGGTTTCTTATAAGCCTGTTAGCAGTACTTGTTGAAGGCCCATCAAGTTGTTTGATATACTACTTAACCGTTTAGCGCCTGAAGCTAAAAGCTGGTTATTGACCGCACCCTGCTTAGACAGACTTAGAGCCATTTCAAGAATATTAGAATGGACTCTCTGCTCATGTACACATTCGCATTCGCAAAACATTCGTATCATTTGATGCGAATTTCGAATGTGAATGTGTAAAATGATGCGAATCATTTGCATAACGAATGCGAATGCTGTATCTATAAGACTTTTGAGTCTTTTATAATACATCAACAGGTTGCAAAATTCAATGTTTGTATAAAGGAAACTTAGAACTAACAATATATCAAATAGCAACAAAAAATATTAATATTTGTATTTTTAATTAACATTTAAATTTAAAGCCAGATATACTAAAAGGTCAGGCATATAAATATAAAGACGAACATACAAAATTTGGTTTAATAGTAGAAGTGACAGAGACAGAGAAATGATAACAGTTTAATCGCAACCACATTCATTGTGTAGATTTAAAGTAATTATGCAATACCTTTTTGAAGTTACTCCGATTCATCGCTGCTTTTCCGGATTCAGGAACTGAGTTCTAGAACCTTACAGCATTAATGAAGAACAGCCTAGCTGAAGACAAGTAGGAATATTTGGGGACAATCAGACTTTGATTTCTATTAGACCTTCTTGATTTTAATTTTTCAAAAAGGTCTTTTGAAGTTTTGAATTCTATAAGCCTATACATAAATATACAATCTAGCCGCTAGGTATTCAAAAATGCTGTATTCTAGAATTTTGTTTTTCCACGTAGAAATGTGGTCATATCTTTTGAGACCGTAAACGTAACGTGTAACGTTATTAAACGCAACATCAATTTTGTGAAATGAATAGAGTCAAACTTGCTATACACTAGCCCAGAGCACGTGATCTGCGGCACTATAAGCTAAATAGCTAACTTTCTTCTTGTATCTAAGGGAGTAAACGACGCTGACATTCTTAATCTACGTAAAACAGCATACACGTTACTTACAACATTATTCACATGGTCAGAACAGCTCAACATAGAAATAACAACAAACCCTAAATTTCTTATCTTGTCAGTCATAATCAGGACGCTATTACCAACAAACAGTTTTGGAATATCTTCCACATGTACTACACGTTTACTAATGGGCAACACATACGACTTTGCGGCATCTAGGCAAAGACAATTATCGTGGGCCCACTATGAAATTGCAGACAGGTCACTGTTTATTTTAAAACACAAATCTTCAACAAGACCAATTTGACTGGACAAGTACAATTGAATGTCGTCAGCGTAAGCATGGACATTGACATAGTGCAACACAGAGAATACATTATTCACAAAAGGACTAAACAAAAGAGGGCCAAGGAAAAAACCTTGCGGCACACCCAAGCCAACAAGTTTAGATGTGGTGGAGCCAGTCTTGCACATTACCTTTTGAGATCTTCCTGCAAGGTAGCTGATCATAAGTTTAACAGAGCTATCAGAAAAACCAAAGTGGTATTTAAGCTTTTTGCAAAGCAGTTCATGATTCACAAAGTCAAATGCCTTAGAAAAATCCAGAAGGCAAAGAAGAGTGGTGACCTATCTCTTGTCAAACTGTATCACGAATATCGTAAAGTATTTTCAACATAGCCGTAGAGCAGCTATGACTTGGTCTAAACCCTGACTGCAATGGCGATAATAAATTATTTTCTTGTACAAATGTACAAATCTGCCCTGCCACCAACGTCTCGCTCACTTTTGAGA